GGGTAGATTTTTTTAGTTCCAAGTGTCCGGAAGTCAAATTGTCCAAATGTCAGGGTAAAAATTTTTTGGTCTTGCTGTAGTGTAGAATATAAAATAAACTCTATCAAATTCATATTTATCTGTTTATTGAGACACAACTGGAACCTGGCAAAGAAAGATTCTGGAAGACATTCAGGATTCTTTTTTGCCTTTTTAGAAGTTGCTGTTGCGTTGTTGACTTGATCTGACCTAAAAATTGAGCAGGTATATCTGCAGTACATTCAGAAGGTGCTTGTTAAACTCACAGTTTATTTTTGTTTGAGACATGTCGACATTGTCGAGACATATTTTGTTACTATGTCTATATATATACGGATGAAGAGGCTAACTGATGATTGATTGGCGATGTATTTCATTACTTATTCTAGCTATTCAGTTTTTCAATTCACTGAACAAGCATTTTTACCGAAATACGGTATTAATGCATATACTCGACGCCTCAAACTAAAAAAAAAATCTGAAAATCCTACCTGCCCAATTTGGGATGAAAAACTAAAACGAAAGCCTGCATCTGCTCAAAAATTACTTATATTCACCGACAGTTTTGGATTTCGTTTCTAAAATTTATATTCCAATGAACAGCACATGATCTAAATCAAAAATCGAGTTTCTGAAGTTTTGAACAACGAAGTTCAGGGAGCCTTATTCGGTATTTACTTCAAAAAATTGGGTCCATGTTTAAACCGCCTGGAATGTTTATCCGAATGACATTGAATAATTTCCCGGGGGTTTCGCGAACAAACAGTTTAACCGTGTAACGGTTTGTAAATACGAATCAGGGTGGAAAAACGTCTAAAGATTCATATTCCCTGATCAGCACATGCTATATACATGTAATACTGCAGCAGTGCACCTTAGAAAAAGGTGTCTCACAGCGTCCAGAGTCAAATGGGACAAGGATCTTGAATGCACAAATCGGCTGAATGTTCGGCTTTTTTGCTGCTTTTCTCCCCCATTGAATCGTTCAGTGTGTTGTGTGATTAGACCTAAATTTGTGGAAAACGCAGTGAAACGAAAAAATGAGGAAGAAAAGCACTTCAAAAAGGCTCTTTTCACGTCGTCCAAATTCGTCGCCACCTTCCCAA